GAATTTGACTCAAGCAAAGATATTAACTCAATTTTTGTGAAACTGTAGAGTGCACACCTTATATCCGTGAAAAACGTTGTAAGAAATTGCACAAATTTGCACAATGTAGCAGTAAATTAATTCAGTAGACCTCAGTAAATGGCGGTAGACACCCGGGAAGGGGAGGGGTAGTGGTGCGATACTCCCCTATATTCGCTATACTCAGTGGTATGCCTCGCTAAACAGGGTAGATCTTATTCTGGAACAGTCTGGAACAGGGTATCTTTTTTCGCAAGTACTGGAACAATTAAGGTTTTTTATATGCGATAAATCATACCTTCATTATACTTTTACTCTGTTGCGACATTTACTCTGGAACAAGGTATGGTTTCCAGCGATTTTACTCTAGTGAACAGGATCAGGGTTCAGAGAGCTCAGCGACACATCCCTACACTAAACGGGCAAGAGTACTCCCCCCTCCCGGGGACTTATTATTATTATTATCATTATTGTTATTATTATTATTATGCGCCCTTATCATCATCATCATCATCATCATCATCATCATCATTATTATTATTATTATTATTATACTTTCAGACTTAATCGGTCCCTCGTCAGAGAATCACTGAATAAATGAAATGTACCTACATTCAAAGGGCTAGCTTAGTTAGCGCTTGCTCGTTAATCATCTCAAGCGATGTATTCCAATATCGACATTTGTAAATACATCTCATTCATATATTCCCTGATGACAGACCGATAAGATCCGAAAGCTTCGAGTAAATTCCTTTAAATTTACACGAAGAAGCCTCATTTTCTGCCAAATATAATTCCCACACCCTGAAAGAAATTTTAGATACAATTGAATTGTTCTTTCAGTAATTCACGTCGTATTCATGGCTACGCCCCACCGGCTTGAGAGAATAGCTGGATGAACGATGAAACCCTGATGAGAAAGCAAAAATATGTTTATAACTATGTAAAATGGAGGTTCGCATCAGTTCTCCACTGTGAGCCCTATATAGTGACTTTACAGCTTTGGTTCGATTCCTTCGCATCGTGATACCCCATGTGAAAGGAGTTTGTTTGATGTGTTGGTTTTGCCCTTGTTCGAGTATTAATTTTCTGCCGGACCTCCAATTTTCTTAGCCTCCGTTGCAGACGTCCTGCGGGGTTCAGTTCGGTTCGAACCGAACCCCGCAGGACGTCTGCAACGGAGGCTACGGTTTTCTTCCCCACGAAAAATCAACGTATTGGTTGAGAGTTACGCATATAACATTGGTTGTAGTGGTTAATATTATTGTTATTATTGTAGCAGTATAAAGTAAAACTGGTTTTTGATCATGAATCAAACTTCGTTCGCGTGGGTTCCCTGTGGTCTTAAAAGCGTTATTGGGATTCCTTTGTCAAAGGCCAGGTCTCTAATCAAAATTTAAGATGCTGGACAACTTCAAGTGTTTCTTCGTTATAATATCTGCCAGTTTGGATTTATATTTTCGACATTTTGAAAGGTTTAAATGGCGGAAAAATCACCAAAAGGGAATACAGTTGTGTGTGTTTGCTTCCAAATGAGGTAAGCTTACTAAATAAGGATATAGAGATGATGGCCACGCGAACGACAAATTTATTTGGGATACGTTTAAGTTTTTAAATCTTGTCCGACAAACAATTGCACAGTATCTGTTTTAAAGAGTACTACTATGATTGCTAGACAAAATTCTATTTTCAAAGGAAAGTACAATAGTAACGGAGTTACACTTTATTGCCTTCAGACAATTGTTACATTTGGGTCAGTTTCTATACATTTCATTGTATTGACCCAAATGCCTCGACTTGAAACAATTGTTTGAAGGCAACAGAGTGTAACTCTGATATCTGCTATTTATAAGCAATTTTCCGCTACAAGAGTTTTAAATTCTGTAATTCTGTGATATTCTAGCTAGGATTTGTTGAGCTTGTGCCGGGGACATAGCAACGAAAGCTCAACGCACGGTAACTACGGGGAGCGTCACTATGACATAGGGATGGATTGTTAAGTTTGACTGTTAAAATGAAAGAATGAAGATAGATTCCAAATATACTCACCCTTTCTGATACGTATTGCTAACACAATGATGACAATGAACATGACGAACAAAAGACCAACAGCAACCCCCAGTATGATGATGAGAATCAAGTTGTTCGCTGGAAAATATTGGACAAAAGTAGCTGATGGTCTGAGAATGGACCGAATAAACGTCTGCACGCTGCAATGTCTTTCRAAAAATAAGCCACTGTCAATTAGTCTAAGTAAAATTACCATAAACCCTGGTTAAAACTTTCACATTCTTAGAAGTGGACTGCTTATTAATTAATTACTTTCTTTCTTCAAATTTGGTATCACAAAACTAACTGTAAAAAAGCTAGTATGTTTTATATAGCTTTAGTTGCGTCTTACTTGGCTCTGTAGTACAAATGGCGGAAGAACTTGGTTCTTGTTTAAGAGGAACTATAGAATAAATCGTGGTACAAAAAGAGTTTAGTATTGCGAAAGAGAAGGAGAGAGGAAGAAAGGAAGGAAGGAAGGAAGGAAGGAAAGAAAGAAAGAAAGAGTCCATCTCAATCAGAATTGGCCATCCACAAGAACCACAAGAAAATTCATTGCGTCCTTTCCTGCGGAAAACCTCAAACAGTTCGAAAAAGGAACAGAGGAGGAGAATGGAGCCCCTGCAGTCTTCCTCTGCAATCTCCGGCTTCTTGTGTTGTATTATAATTACACTTTACCTTTCATAGTCACGACAGGATCCATGGAAAATCCTGGATCAACAACAAAGTCTCCCAGTTTGCCTTTTTTTATTTCTCGATGGATATCATCAATGACTTGTTGAGTTTCTTGTAGCGATGAAGTGTTCATGTAGAGATCATAATCAACTATTACGCTTCCTTTTCTATTGACAAATCGAAATAAAAATTGATAAAGTTACTGGTTTTTCTGTAGCGTAAGAAAGATAGATTTTCATTGGTCAAGGGATTTTTTTTATTGCTTGGCTAATTAACCAGACATCGAGTGCTGAACCGTCGTATGGATTTACGGCTACGCTGGAGATTTCGGCCCCGGCACCGCTATCCCTGGAGGAATTACAGACTGATCAGGAAGCTCGGCCGAAGCAGGTTAATTGTCCCCTAGACCGTATATGATTAACCCCTTGCTATTTTTGCATAGCCACCAGTGACCATAAAATCATGGTCAACTTGGTGGTAATAATAATAATAATAATGTCTTTATTATATAAATAAAACACATATCTATATTTACAATTGTACCACTGAAAACTATATAAATTTAAGAATTAAAATAAATGAAATTAAAATATATCAAATTCCTAAATTATTAAAAGCTAATCTATTCATAAAAATTGCTTTATACTGCTCTGTATTAATTT